CTTTCGACCACATGGAGATCTCCAACTCTACGGCTTGTCCCAATCTGCTTCTTGGGCACCCGATCCTGCACACAACAGACAGAAGAGGAAAAGAAAACATCAAAACCAAATGTATCAAGTTGACTGATAGATAATAAACTGACAGATAACTAAGGGACATAAATAACAGAATGAATAGTAACAGCAAACATGGCAGAGAGTAAGACAAACCCAATAGACAGAACAGACATACCAAACCCATTAGCAGTATTAATAGTAATAGGAACGGGTAGGGGAATACAGTTTTGAAGTAAGGAATGTGAGGAGTCATATGATGAGAGGCACCAAAATCAAAGAGCCAGACAGAAGAAGGGATACCTGAAGAGATAAGAGCGGAGGCAGATGGGGATGGCTAAGAGGTTGATAGGAGATACTGAAGTTGTGCAACCTGAGCACTTAAGGAAGCCAAGTCAGGATCAGAAGCCAGAGCAGATGCAGTATAAGCAGCAGGAGGGCGAAAAGTTCTTAGAGCCGGACCTCGGAACTGTGGCTGAGACGACTGAACAGACTGACTGCTCTTTTTGGGACAGTTGTACTTCCAATGACCTTTTTGATGGCAGAAAGCACACTCATCTGATGCTAAGGGCCACTTTTTGGGCTTGGCAGAAGACTGAGGCTGAGAAGCAGATAGAGTCACCAATAGAGGTGGCTGTGCTAAGAAGACTGAAGGAGATAGAGTCTGACTGGCCGTCTTAAGACGGGTTTCCTTGGAGAGGAGCTCACAAACAATAGCATCTACAGAGGGGAGAGGAGACCGATGAAGGATGCCACCACGGATAGCCTCATACTGAGGGGAGAGAGCTGTTAAGAACTACACTAAACGACCTTGCTCTCGAAACTCAACATAAGCGTCTAGTGCCTTGAGACTAGATGGTTCCATGAGAACTAACTGATCCCCCAAACTTGTCATCTCAATGTAGAAGTCCTGATTGATCCCGCTGGCAAGCACTCTAAATCGTTGTTTCCAACTCATACCGTTTAGCAAAGTTGGACTGTTTATACACACCCAATAAATAGTCGCACACCTCCTTAGCAGTACTGTATTTGGAAAACATCATTCCAATATGGCCATCCACAGAATTATGAAACCAAGTCAAAAATTGGACATTATCACAATCTCAAGTGTCACAGGAAATCAGATATGCTTCTTGTTTAGGGTCCAATAGACGAGGAACAGAACCAGAACCATAGCCCTATTTTTTCTGACTAAGAAGGAAATTCTTCATAACACTAGCCCAATAAGCATAATTGGCACCAGTGAGTTTACATCTGATGGCTTGAATTTTGGTATCCGTCATTGTAATAAACTAAAGATTAATGGATCAAAGCATACTAATAACTTAATAAATGGACCAAACAGGAATAAGGGTTTTAATAGTATAGATAACAAATCACAGAGAGAAAGATAGAGAGATGAGAACCAAAGTCGTGAGAGAGAGTCGCGATGATGAACCGAGATAAACCAAGATGAAGCCGCACAGAGAGAGAAAGAGAGAGAGAACTAGAGTCAGATAATCATGAGAGGGAGTCACGATGATGAACCGAGATGGAGTCGACAAAGACTGAGAGAGATACAATGAAGCAGGCGCCACGATTGATCGCGATTTACAACCGATGGGTTGCGACTGAACAGAGAGGCTACGGCTGTTAGGGTTTCGACTCTACAAGCTAGGGTTTCGAATTCAGCTCTAATACCATTTAAGTATTTCTGAATGAATTGCATATTCAACATGTATTGATTGAACAAAGAATACATCATTTATATAGAACACTAAATCCTAACCTTACATGACTACATCACTGATATATAGAAGTCTAATAGATATAGGACTCTATTTCCTAATCCTATAAGGAAAAAAGAGAACGCATTCTCGCGATTACTCCATTCCACTTTACATCCAAATTTCTCCTTACAGCCATTGTATCCATTACTTGTCTTCTTATCTCATCCACCATATTTGTAATAAGCAAATGGCGAGATTTTGAAAACCAAATATTGAATGACTCAGCTGCAATAGAACACATTTCGCTATTTCTCTATCCCTCAAAGTAAGCATTAGTCCAATTTTGAAAACCAATACTACTAATAAATCTAGCAGCATTGTCTCCACCATACTGTACAAATATCTCCAACTTCTCTCTATACATATCCACTGTAGGCGCATATACACAATCACAAAACCTCCTCACTAAGCCTTTACGAAACCTTTTCTTAAAAGCTAATCCAGTGTACTTTTCTATCAGATTGTTCATCAAATGATGCAAGCAAAAAGCATGGTAATAGTGAAGAAAAATTGTGGCCACAACATCCAATATTCCAGGATTCCTATCATATATAACTATAACTTTCCAAGTTGGAAAAATAAGTGTGGACAACTATTCTAGAAACCAACCCCAACTATTTAGAGTCTTTGCATCCATAATAGCAAATGCAACTGAAAAAAAGCCCTTGATTTGCAAGTTGCACACAATAGAATACCTCTAAATCTACCCTTCAAAAATGTCCCATCAATAAAAAAATTGGCCAACAAAAATTAAAACCTTGGATACATCTATGTTCTAGGAGAAAACTACTTTTGGCAACATTTATGTTCCAAAACAAAAACATAAGAGAAACTCAGTGGTTAACACCGGTTTTCATGTTGGAGTCCAAGAAAAACAATGGCGGTCTTGGTGGTGCCTCAAAGTCTTCTGATGTTGGTGCCGCCTCAAGGTCTTCTGCTATTGCAAAATAGAAAAACGAAAAAGATAGCCATTGTCCACCAATGGAAAAAGGAAACAGAAAAGAAAAAGGAAAAAGGAAACACCATTATAAATAGCCATCAGAGATAACTAGAACCACAAGCAGTAGCAAGAACAAAGTTCATGTAGACTAAAGATGCATCTTCGGGAAGAGAGATTTTCTCAAACAAAGAACACAGACATCTTGAAAATTTGCATGAAGCATTGCTACTTTTATATCCCAATTTTTGTGCAAGTTCATATTAGTTATGTTATGTAATCTAAATTTGCATCATTCATATAATCTTATTTGATTTTGGAACTATTTTTCATATGCTAATATTGTCTAATAGAGAGCTGATACCGAACGATATACTGACACTGAGCGATATACTACTAGAACATAAGAAGGTAAAATAACTAGTCAATATAAGAATGTCATATTACACGATCCAGGATGTAGTAGGTAGATTGCCTTACCTTTTTTTTGTTTTTTTGTTTTCAGTGTGTATGTGGAGTAACTGATTCTTGTGACGGTAATATATCAGGTAGAAAAATTCTGGATCACAAAATATTAAGTTGTTTAGCTCTATTCATGACATAAATGTGTTTCATGTAGCAGATATTCACACCACAAGAAATTGCACTTTTGGCGACTAAATTTTTAGTCGCAAAAAATCATATTTTTAGTAGCCAAAAGGTTTTCCCGACTAAATAATTTGGTCGCCAACTTGGTCGCAGAAAGACGGTCGGCAAAGGTATTGGCGACTAAAAAAATTTTAGTCATCGAAAGTCCTAAATTGGCTACTAAACAAGTAGTCGCCAAAAGTAAAGGTATTGGCGACAAAAAAAACTTTAGTCGTTGATAGGCCAAATTGGCGACTAATCTTTTAGTCGCCAAAAGCTTTCAAAAAAAATTTACATCGCATTTTCAGCGACTAAAACATTTAGGCCTCGTTTTGGGATGCTACCTTTTTAGCCAATTAGCCAAAAAGTTACTAAGTCGCCAAAACTAAATTTATTTTCCACGACTAATTTATTTAGTAGCCAAAAAGATTTTTTGTTTATCTTATTTTTTTTAGCTACTAAATGTTTAGTCGCCTAAAGTGTAATTTTTTTTAGCTACTAAAAATTTAGTCGCCTAAACTCTATTTTTTTATTTGGCTACTAAAATTTTAGTCGCCAAAAATTTTTTTATTCATTTTATTTTTTTTAGCTACCAACTATTTAGTCACTAAAAATATTTACTGCCTTTTTGGCTACCAATTATTTAGTGGCCAAAAACATGATATTAATTTATTTTTTTTAATTTGTCCATAACCTGTTTGTATTCCGTGCAACCTATACCATGTATATAAACAAAACAATACATATATTATCAATCATTTCAAAATTTGCGCCCATTTCACTTCCAACCATCCAAAAAGGAATTATTAGAAGAATTATAAACTATAATAATAAGTTGGGACATGAAATTTGGGCTATTACATCACTGAGTAGCAAGTCACACGGCTCAAACATATGGATTACATCTCCCATCCTAGGCCTATTTTCGACATCCGGATCAACACATCTAAGAGCAATCAAAATGATTCGTTTAAGTTCCTTCAATGAAATCATCTCAAGCATCTTAGGATCTACAAGATGATCAAAGTTTTACTTGGCAACCATAGACTTTAACCAGTCTATCAAGTATACCTACAATTGGAGATTCATTTTGCACTGCATTAGTATATAATTATAAAGCAGAGATAGAAAATGAAGTATTTTAAAGACTAGCAACCCCTGCTTCAGTTTCAGTTGAGTACTCTAGAGGGGTCTTCCCAGTTATAATCTCCATGAGAATAAACATCACTTTTCTCATTGAAAACACCAGTGGAAGCATATTAAGATCTATTGACCTCATTACTATATTAAGATTCAAAAGCCAAATCACGTATTAAGATCTATATCCAAAGACCCCAGTTACATGCACATCTTGGAAGGTGTAGGGGTAGAAGAAGCAGCAGAAGCCAAGAAGCGGGATAATAAACACATATGAAGCACCAAAAAATGGACTTGTTCAAAAGATTTCCATGTCTAAATTCTCATATAAAGTGGGGCTTGGGAAGCCCAAAAATTGATCAATTCAATCCCTTGGCAGAATTTTGTGCTGTCTTCAGTTAGTTACAAACATCATCCTAATCCAACTAATACAAGTATACAATCATGATAGAATGCAGAGCCTGAATATGGATTACATCTCCCATCCTAGGCCTATTTTCGACATCCGGATCAACACATCTAAGAGCAATCAAAATGATTCGTTTAAGTTCCTTCAATGAAATCATCTCAAGCATCTTAGGATCTACAAGATGATCAAAGTTTTACTTGGCAACCATAGACTTTAACCAGTCTATCAAGTATACCTGCAATTGGAGATTCATTTTGCACTGCATTAGTATATAATTATAAAGCAGAGATAGAAAATGAAGTATTTTAAAGACTAGCAACCTCTGCTTCAGTTTCAGTTGAGTACTCTAGAGGGGTCTTCCCAGTTATAATCTCCATGAGAATAAACATCACTTTTGTCATTGAAAACACCAGGGGAAGCATATTAAGATATATTGACCTCATTACTATATTAAGATTCAAAAGCCAAATCACGTATTAAGATCTATATCCAAAGACCCCCAGTTACATGCACATCTTGGAAGGTGTAGGGGTAGAAGCAGCAGTAGAAGCAGCAGCAGAAGCCAAGAAGCAGGATAATAAACACAGATGAAGCACCAAAAAATGGACTTGTTCAAAATATTTCCATGTCTAAATTCTCATATAAAGAGGGGCTTGGGAAGCCCAAAAATTGATCGATTCAATCCCTTGGCAGAATTTTGTGCTGTCTTCAGTTAGTTACAAACATCATCCTAATCCAACTAATACAAGTATACAATCATGATAGAATGCAGAGCCTGACATCATAGATTTTAGTAAGCTCAGAAGTAAAACAACCTTATTGTCCAACTGAATTCAGACCAACAAGACCACTAAATGGTCTAATTGCCCATCAAATGGAGAAATGAGGTCTTTCAACATTCCTCATCATTTGCAAAGTTGAAGATTTATTGAACTTAAAGAATAAGTTGTGTAAAGAACTATGTACAGCAAAGCATAATGTGGTGTAAGTTTATACATCCCAATTAATAGTAATTAATAAAGTAGCATAAAGAACTGTCGCATTGTTGTCAATTACATACTCTAACTGCTTCAAGCCCACCTTTTATTAGTCTATTTTGTAACTAATCAAGTCCTCCCACATAAAAACAAATGACTAGGTGAAATAACAATGAGTTTGATACTTGAAAATTTTATATTCTGGGATTAATTGGTAGTGCTTGAAACATTATTTATTCACAGATTTGTTAATAATGGTAAAGACAGTCATTTATCAATGAAATTATGAATACACTCCACTTGTGTAGGTGGCCTGGCCTTCTACAGTCTAGGCCTCAGGAATTGAACATTTTGTCACTCTTACACTCATCCTGGCTCTCTACTCCACTTGTACTCATCACAAGCATCAAGACACAATATTCGACTAGATTACACCAGCCAAAGAATCATAAACTTCCAATCATTAGCCTAGGAACTGAAAACGTTAGAAATTAAAATGCATTTATTAAAGATGCAGAGTATAAAAAAGTGTGATATTTGTTGTACTAGTAATATACGTCAAACCTTCCCATACTAAAAACAATCAAAACCTCATGGGTCATATGCATAATCCTTCCAGTAATGCCATTCACCACACTGTACACAATTACAGCTAGCAAAAGCCAGTGCAAAAAGCCATGCATGTGATTTAATTTTATAGTTACAAATGTCCATGAAGTTAGTTTTTACAGTTCCTAAAGTTTTGCTTTTTGGTAAGAATAATCACAGATTGTCTTTGAGCTTACAACATTATGGACCAAATTTAAAGCCAAATCCCGCATTTTAAGAATAACTAATGCACACTATAATAACAGTAAGCATGCATTTTTTGGGGGGGAAACCAAGCGAAAATGTAAACGACAGTAACAAATGTCACATTAGAAAACAGATCAAACATTCAAACAGAAAAACCACTCACTCTACTCAATAATTATAAGATAACACCATCCTAAATAAAGACAAATGCTGGTGTTTGAAATTAACACCATCCTAAACTCATTGTAACTGCTTCAAGCCCAAATTTTCTTGTTTTCAAATTTTAGAACTTGATCTGAAACAATTTAAACCACATATTTGTTTCATGAGCCAAGCCCGCTGGTCTCTTAATTCCATCTGATATCCTCAAAGTTCAATGAAAATAAATAGAGGTGAACAATGAAAATCAAAACAAAAATGATTTTTTAATAAGTAAACCACAATCTATAAATTGATTGGGAAATTTCCAGTATTTCATATTCCTTTAAAAAAAATTTGAAGGATACAAATAAAATCTAAAAAAAATAATAAAAAATAGAACAAAGTGGCAAATTTTCCGAGAAAGAAAGAGATGGGCCATGGATTGGTTCATGAACCATCAACATCCATTTTATTCTTTTAAGCCTTATTATTTACTCAAAAAATATAGTTCAATTAAACTTGTGTTTATTACTTTTAATCTATTGACCTCCATGTACTTCACTGAATTTTATAAACTTCATTTGACTAGTCAGTCTCATTAACAAGTCCTTTTCAGATTCCTTATTACTATATGGGGATTAAACTCATCATTTTCTGTCAAGGACCAAAAAGAAAAGGCTCAATATTGTTATTGTTTATTGCCTATTCAGGAAAATCCAAGTATGTGGTTATGTGCTTTGCTTAGTGATCAATTGCATTATTAGAATTATTTAACTTTGACTTTGTCCTCCATCCCAAATAGGGGATGGGTCCAAAAGGATGTTTTACACTAAGTAGTTCCTAAGAGACATTTTATCAAACAGTTTGAAGGCAAGAAAAAAATCCAAAACCTAAAATCTATAGGCCATAATATAACATATCTCTAAAAATCCAAAACCTAAATTCACAATTTCTTTTCATTGAAGAGCTTGACAAAGTGTAGATTTCCAAAAATCCAATACATACATAGACAAATTGAAAGAGAGAGAGAGAGAGAGGTTACTGACTGAATAAGATCTTGGAGCTGTTGAGCGCGAGAGCGAGGGTTAATGCCCTTACGGAGGACATTGTCGTGCATATGATGTTTTGGACTCAATCTAATCCTTCACCCATCTTACATCCACTGCTGTCATCGAGATCATTTCTCCTCCAGACACGACGGCTCCAGCGATGGTTAAGGCCGCGAAAGAGGGGCAAGAACAAGAAGGAGGAGAAGGAGGAGGAGCAGGAGGAGAAGGAGAAGAAGAGAGAGGACAAAGAAGAAGGTCGCCGCCACAGCAGCAACAACCAAGAGCACCAGAACAGGCACTGCAGAGGGAGACGGACGCGAGAGCGAGAGAGAGAGAGAGAGAGAGAGGCGCTGGTTTGTTTGGTTTGGAAACCAAATATATATATATATATATATTACACCATTAGCGACCAAAACTTTTAGTCGCCAATTAATTTATTTTATTTAACCCTCCAAAATTTGAAAGGTTTCCCTCCAAATATTTTAGCCTTTTGGCGACTAAATTTTTTTTTGTCACTGAAAATATATTTTTGGCAACCAAATTTTTGGTCGCCAAAGATAAAAAATAATTTTTTATTTTCCATTCGATGACTAAATGATTTTAGTAGCCAAAACTCACTATATGGCGACTAAAATATTTTTTTGTCGCTGAAAAATATCTCAGGCGACCAAAAGTTTGGTTGCCAAAGATTAAAAAAAAAATTATTTTACATTCGGCGACTAAATCATTTTTAGCAGCCAAAACTCAATATACGGCAACTAAAATAATTTTTTTGTCGCCAATTCTCGTATTTTTAGCGACTAAATTTTTTTTTAGTCACCAATAATTAATATTCCCCGACTAAAAAAAATTAGTAGCTAAATATTGTACTTTTGGTCACTAAAAAAAATTTTGGTCGCCAATTCCACAACTTTTGGCGACTAAATTTTTTTTAGTCGCCAATTTTGATCGCCAAATGTGCATTTTGTTGTAGTGTCATGCCTTTTCTCATAGAATTGAATGAAACCACCAATCTCACTCTGCTTGTAATTGATTGCAACAAAAAATGTCTACTTTGGCTGGATTTCATTAGGATAACCTAGCATCACTCATTTATTGTTAAAATTGTAAGTATGATTGTTAACTGCTTTGATGTGTTGTAATTTACGCTCAATCCTAGTTGTAGGGAGTGTGAATTATGGTAGTTTATAGTATTCATTAAGGATAGTTTAGTCTTTAGGTTGCTAGGGTTTGATTCTATTAGACTAAATATATTTGTACTCATTTGATTTACCTTTGAATTAATCAATACACAAGTTTGTTATCATGGTATTAGAGCCACGACCCAGATGTTTTGTAATTGATTGCAACAAAAAATGTCTACTTTGGCTGGATTTCATTAGGATAACCTAGCACCACTCATCTATTGCTAAAATTGTAAGTATGATTGTTAACTCTTTGATGTGTTGTAATTTACGCTCAATCCTAGTTGTAGGGAGTGTGAATTATGGTAGTTTATAGTATTCATTAAGGATAGTTTAGTCTTTAGGTTGCTAGGGTTTGATTCTATTAGACTAAATATATTTGTACTTATTTGATTTACCTTTGAATTAATCAATACACAAGTTTGTTATCATGGTATTAGAGCCACAACCCAGATGTTAGCATACCTTTCGCAGGTCATCATCGACCATCGCAACCTTTTTCTCTCTCTCTTTGCAAGGCCGTTGCTGGGGTTCTCTGTGTTCTCTATTCTCTTCGTCGCACTTCGAAGCTCGACCCCTCGATTGTTGCTGGTTCTGGTCTCTAGGTTGCATCTTCAACTTGTTTCGACCATCATCTGGTTCAATCGAATCTCTTGACTACATGGACTCTGTCGATGACCTTTCCCTTGGTGATGTGATCGTCGTGAGACGACATCGACCAGATGGTGCTGCAAAGGCATCGATTTTGACCCATTTAGGGTTAGGGTTTGAACAACAGGAGCTCGAATATGACCAAGTATGGCTACTCTAGTTCACACGATCAAAGGCTCACTTCTGGTTTTAGGATTACTCTCTTTCTCTCTCTCTCTCTCTGCTCTACCTTGGTTCTCTTTGATTGATTTTTGTGGTGATAAGGTTATTATAAGTTTGACCTTATTGATATTTGTGGTGATAAAGGTTATTATAAGTTTGACCTAATTAGTTCTATAATTATAGTAATTGCAACTTTGGTTAGGCACTCTGCTTTGATTATAATGTGTTGCTTAATTATAGTACTATGGCTAATGATAAATTGCAAGTTATCACCAC